AAGTTAGCCTCAAAGGAAGAAATCCATTGTGCATAAAGATATGATATTTGCAGATACAATGCAGAATTAATACGCAACCCAAAACATACAAACAAAAACCAGAGAAGGAGAGCACATGAGCCCTGCAGCAGTGTTGTAGATAAGCGTATTCACCATGGACTCCTGCGTCTGAATTAGATAAATTTAATTAACTGTTAGACTGGTGATCTCTTTCGCACCCTTCCTTTCTTTTGTAAACCAAGAAAGAAAACAAAATGAGTCCATTCTGTGACTGAGAACTTCCCAATGAGAAGTTGGGAGCAGCCTTAAGAGGACAGTTTGTTTCTCAGGCATTTTTTGGCAAGGCAGATGTGCTTGTTTCAACCTGAAACTGTTCTTGATGGAATTTTTAGCATACCAAGTGCCAGCAAACTTCTCATATTGTTTTCAGGGGGCCCAGAGCTACAGGAGGTCTCTGCCCTTACCTCTGCTCAGTGCGAGTTAAATGCTGCACACCAGACAAGTATTTTATTGCTGTGTTGGAAAAAGGGACAGGTGAAACTTATTAATAGTGTCTACTCAACAGTGAGGCTGGAAAGAGTGGCATATCTTCCTGGAGCTAGAATTAACAAGTCCTAAAGTGTTCTCGCTGCTTATTTTTTCATATATCAACCAAAATCACAGTTCTATGTGACTGGTAATCTCTCTGAGATGTGAGGCAAAACGTGTATTTCATATCAGAGAAATAGCTTTCCAATGGCAAATCAATGAATTATTTTTATTCAGTTGTAAAAATATACATGTTGATAGGTGAGGACAGCAAAAATGAAATAATGTTTAGCTTTTGTATGTATTTTTTTACATTGAAAATCTGTATTTTGATTTCTAAAACAATGCTGAAATTGCCTAGTTTCTATAAAAGCCCATCTTCATGCCTTATCATTCTTCTGTGTGGTACAACTAAAAGTATCACACTGATTACCAGCTGTAGAAGAGCTTCCCCCATTTGAAGGCTAAGCCCTACCATTTCTATGACATTAAACACATAGTTTTGCTCAGCTCTGCCAGGACTGTGGGTAAAGACTCTTCTCTCAGGTGAGAGTGACATCCATGCACATCATCAAGTGCTGAGCTTGGTGTCTTGAAACACTAGAAAACTAATGCTTTGAATTTGTGACTCAGCAAGCTGTCTCGGCAGGGTTGTGAATCGCCTGGATGGTTGTTGCTTTGTGCTTCTCATGGCCGTGACTTGAGTCCAGCAGCAGAAATGCTTTGTACTGTGTCTGTCACTTACCTCGCTGCTTTGGAAATAAAAACCCAGGTTTTTCTTATGACTCCTTGAAAAATATTTTGTATTCTGAGACCAAGCTTAAAAACTTTGCAATATGAAAGGATAAAGGACCAGGTAACCAGCTGTCACCTGTGGCTGTTAACACTGTTACATATCACAGTTTTCAGGAGTAGCTTAAAAAAAAAAAGTCCTGCCAGGACAAATCATTTGACAGATTACAAAGTGTGAGCCATATAAATGCCTGTGAGATGTACCAGTGCTTACAGCCAAGCCCTACAAATTCTCTTTACGATACCGTTGACTGTGCAAAGCAAAGGGGACAGCTGCCTATTCTGTAATGTCACCCCCCAATCAGCAGGAGCCCTCTCTTTTGGCTGATTCAGTGTGGTCACGTTGTAATCCTATGTGGCAGGGAGAGGTATTTACAACTTCCCAACCCCTAAATGAAGTACCAAAGTTGGGAGGATGGTCTCTGTGGGTTACTTACACAGTTTGTAGCCAGAGACAGTCTCCTCCAGGAGAAAACTCAATACACCCAAGTTAAATTCTGCTAAGTAAAATATGTGAATACTCCCTGACATGACAGTGCAACAGCAAAGCAATGACTGTGCTCCCTAGAGCTTCTGCAGTTTGGCTTCTTATTTCTACAGTGACTGTGACTGAAAGTGCATTTAGGCTCCTGAATAAAAGACAATAGCCCAGTAAAAAATCATCATTTACTTACCTGGAGGTGAAGTTGGTTCATATAAACAAGAGGTGTGGTCCCTAACACAGCTTGGGGCTGCCCCTGGAACAGACTGGCATGGTAAGAAACGAAATTCAGCATGTGGCCAGAACTGCCCCGGTTGGCCATACGGCTGGAGGCCCTCCAGGCTGACCTGCCTTGTCCCTGCCCCCAGGCCCTGTCCGCATTTCAGATGTCAGTGGCAATACCCAAGCTTGTTTTAAATCAGCAAGGTCAGGCTGCGGGATATCTGCAGCCCAGACAGAGCTCTGCAGCATAACGTACTTGGCTGCCCCAAGAGTGAGAGATATTCATATTCACCATAGACCCTTCACAGAGGAGGACTGGAAGAAGCTGGGGCATGGAAACCTGCTGTAGTAACCACCTTGGTGGCATGACCTCCCAGTAACCAATATCATATATAATGCTAAGTTAGATTTGTTACTGCATAAATAAAAGCGGAAGGAAGGCCAGGGACATCTTGCCGTGGATTGCCTGGTCCTTCCTGGTACGATACTGGCCCAAGCCCCTGTAGTGTGTCTGATAGAGGCATTTCCTCTGGTACGTCATGCTGTCAGGTGCTGTCACTTTCTTCTGGACACAGACAAAGTCCGGCCTCCTCTTTGTGTGATGTTTATTTTCCATAAGGCTTAGGAAGGGAAGGAAGAGAGTTCGTGTCCAGACAGCAAGGAAACAGCCAGGAGCTGACAAGCGGTTCTGGGTCCCGCAGTTTAGACATGGCTCGTGTAATACAAACAGCTTAACTCTCTGTGCTCCAGTTTGCCCCTCTGATGCTCATGTGGGCACTCGGTAGAAATAGTGATCAGGTTCAGTAGTGGGAATGAGATCACACAACTGTAGGGGAGATTAACTTGAAAATGTTTGGAAATCTTCAATGAATTACTACTGTTTTTCTTAATCCCTTTAGGACTGTTTTTAAGACTAATCAAATTCCACATCCTACATGTTGCCCGAGTATGAACTGGTAACAAAGCCTGCAGCTATGTGTCTGTCACATACTAATTGATCAGTGCTATTTTTATAGTGCTCTGAAGGCATTAGTTTCTTCACACAAGACAAAGTCCATTCTTCAAACGGCTTTTAGCAGGAACACACTGGGAGATGGTTGCAAACAGTGAAGAAAGAGTGGATGAGTAAAAGACAGTCAGGATAACTCCATTCAGACATGCAGACAGCAGGATAATGCAGTCAGCGTTTTAAATTTACATAAAAATAGGGAAGAGAAGGATGCAGAATCACTGCATTACTGTCACTGCTGTAATGAGAGGGGCAGGCTTTCCACATGGGCCTGAAACTATAGGAGCATGAAGAGGAAGGGAGGTGCACCCATGGGGGACAGCCTTGAAAACACATACTAGATAGACAATAATTATGAATTAGCTTAATGCAAAGTTTTCACTCATTACCTCAAGTACAAGAAAGCAAATGTCCTGAGCCGTCTGTCCTGGTTTTGGCTGGGATAGAGTTAATTTTCTTCCTAGTGGCTGGCATAGTGCTGTGTTTTGGATTTAGCATGAGAATAATGTGATAACACACTGATGTTCTAGTTGTCGCTAAGCAGTTTTTATACTAAGTCAAGGACTTTTCAACTTCCCATACTCTGCCAGTGAGGGGGTGCACAGGAAACTGGGAGGGGACACAGCCAGGACAGCTGACCCCAACTGACCAAAGGAATATTCCACACCGTATGACGTCATGCTCAGCATTTAAAGCTGGGGGAAGAAGAAGGAAGGGAGGGACGTTCAGAGTGATGTCATTTGTCTTTCCAAGTAACCATTACGCGTGATGGAGCCCTGCTTTCCTGGAGATGGCTGAACACCTGCCTGCCGATGGGAAGGAGTGAATGAATTCCTTGTTTTGCTTTGCTTGTGTGTGTGTCTTTTGCTTTACCTGTTAAACTGTCTTTATCTCAATCCACGAGTTTTCTCACTTTTACTCTTCCGATTCTCTCCTCGGTCCCACCGTGGGGGAGTGAGCAAGCAGCTGTGTGGGGCTTAGCTGCCGGCTGGGGTTAAACCTCAACACCGTCCCAAATGTTATTGTATGCTGCAGCCTCAGGAAGGGAGCATGGCACTGCTTCAGTACAGAGATACGATTGCTTGCCCGCACTGTGCAACAGATTGCCTCTTGGTAGTACAAAAGGAGCCCTGCTTCTGTCAGCAGAGGGGTGCTTTATTTCCTAGGCTGACGAAGCAGCATCTTAAGAAATGAGTGTAGGCTATGGTGATAGGATTGTGTCATGGCATGAAGCAGTTCCCTCCATGTAAATTTAGTGGAATTCCTCTGACTCATGCCAGTGAGAGCAAAAGGGCCAGAACCTGTAACGTGGTGGAGGATCAGAAGGAGACTGAAAAAAACCACTGGAGACCAAGCACCTGATCTGGATCTTGGTTATACGTGTGGAAATCAGCTGTGGCTCCAGCAAACTCAATAGCTGCAAATTAGTGTATAAATGAAAATAATATCAGGTCCAAAACAGCCAGATCCCTGCTTTTGTTTTAGATAAAATTATAGATATTATTTCTCTGGGGTCGAACACTCCACAGGGAGACACATGGGCATATTTTTGGCTCACTGTACCTGAGGAGGCAGTATCCTTCAGCCATACTTTTAAAATGTACAAGCTATAGTCTGCTTTGCTTCTCATGATTTGGTATGAATAATCAAGAAATTTGATCTTCTGGTTATGTGATATCAGCACTGCTCTTTCTAAGGGACAAAAACATAGAGGACATTCAGATATTGCAATAATCAGTAATTTAAAATGCAGGAGAGAGAGAAAGATGTTTTAGAACTTCTCATTCCTCAGTTTATACTTAATCTGCTGAAGATAGTCTGCTTTTGTAATGGATAATGTATTTTGGTGCCTGAGCATCGTTAGAACTCTTTTAAAATCTGATCCATGGTGTTTGACCATAAGAGAAGAAGATCCTTTCACAGCATTTCACACTCATAAATACTAATTATGTTTTAATCTTTTGGCAGAGATAAGGATTGCCTAAAAATATGGGAATCATTAAAACATGCGTTCATTTACAAGAATCCCTGTAATATTACATCAGAAGATTATCAGCCTTTAATGGATTTAGTGAGTCATCCTATACCCTGTAACAAGGTAACAGTACAACGCATGGTGGGCTGCGTAAGTAGGATTGTTGTGGGACGGCATGTCTGTGCAGTGCTCTGAGTGATGGGATCTTGTCCCTAAAGATTGTGGGGGTCTGTAGGTCGACGAGGATGATATTTTGCTCTTGCGCTTACTGCAATAGTCCTGCAGTTATCACCTTTGGAGCCCAGTAACCCTCTTCATTCTCTACCGCTGGAAATCATCCCTGTGTAAGGCTTGTCTCAAACCTCCGTACCGGGGTCGTCCTGGTGAAGTGGCGGATATGTCCCTGTTCCCTGAGCATACGGCTCTCTGTAAGGATCACGCTATCATGCTGTTAGAGGGACACTGCTTCCAAAAAGCTGGTCTTCCATGTGCAGTTCAAAAGCATGCAACAAATTAGGTACATATCCTATGAGAACTAGTCAAAACCTTTCTTTTAAAACGCTTTACAGGCTGAACATGTCCATTTCCACAAAAAATAATCACCCAAAAAGATTTTGGAAATGGGAGCATGGGCTGCAGAAATAAGAACTGACCCACTAAGGCGAACTTGCAGCATTTCAGTAAAAACTAAAACTCCTTCATTATCATGAAAACTTTTTGTTTTTCTCCAGGAAAATTTCCTGACTAGCTCTAGTATAAGTATCACTTATTAGACATTGTACCTTATTTCACAGTCACTGTTTTGGAGCAAGACAAGTGACCTCGCTCATCGTTATACAAAATCCAATCAAAATTTCCTTACCTTGGAGGACACCTTGTTGGGTTATATGGCTGATAGGGTTTCATGGTGTGGAGACCCCTCTGCCCCAGGTAATAAGTCCTATTTTTTGCAAAACAAATATGAACACTGGAATTCCAGATTATTCTTTTATCTTGTATATCTAGACCTAAACACAATCCTTTTCACATATTCTTTTCTTGTAATTTAGTTTAAAACCTTAACTGTATTTCTGTCCCATGTTATGGAAGACTGAAAATAATACTTAGTTCTCAGGTTAATTTACAAAACACAACTTTGGCTGTTACTAAAATACCAAGTTGCTGCTTGGACTAATGGTCACATCTAGCCCTCTTTATCTAGATTACTCGCTTCCTTCCTGTGACTTCTATGGGACAAATTGCAAAACAAGAATGCCATTCAAAAAGGTCCTGGCCATAGGCCAGTCAAAGTGGCGGGGGCAGCATGTAGGTACCCTGCGGTTGTTGCTGCCTGCATGACTCCTGGGTTGGTGCTTAAGGCTAGCAACCTCTAAACTGGGCTGACTTACTGAAAATGTTGGGCAAAGTTTAATTTTTCAGTGCAGTTGGACAGTATTTGTCAAGAGCCAACCTGTTTCTCACATTTAGGACTACATGTTTTCCCTTCTCAGTTTTCTGAGAATTATTTGCATACAGGGCCTGCAGCTGCCTCCCTGAAACGTCTGTGAGCAAACAGGAAGACCTTTGAAGACACATGCAAATTCCTTTTCCTCTTAGAGCCCTTTCCTCATGTAGCCTTCTCGCTTTGGTAGGGGGCAAATCTTTTTGCCATGGTTAATCAGCTCTCAAAGCCATATAAATATTGCAACAATATTCATTCTAACCTTAGCTATTCTATAAATGTATTTCTTTTCAGGAATCAACTATGAATCTTGTCCAAAACGAAGTGAATGTGAGAGCAACCCTACCTCTGTATTCTGGAAAATGGCATCCAAGATGGTAAGATCTAGAATAAATCTCCCCGAATCCAAGAATGTTGAAAGGCACTAAGTTCCTGACACTGCCAAAAATGTGAGTTTGCAGATTGGACTTAAAACATGGAATAGTAAAAGTTCACATGAGCTTTAGCTTCAGGTACTAAAAATCATGGCATTGGAAATTTGTATTTCCAAGGTCCCATATTTTATGTACAACATTTAATGTCGCTGTAGTTTGGGCATTCTTATTTGTGGACAGAGACTGCGTGCCAGTGTCTAGAAAAACACTTGGCAGACAGCTGGAGCTTTGCAAATAATGCTTACAATAATAGTAATCACCACCTTAATTAAATCACAGGACCAAAATTGCTAACATAAAATACATTTTAGCATGGTAATGTTGAGAGCAGTGCCAAAATTGGCATAGAAATTTTCCAAGCAGCTGAGAATCCCCTTGCATGAACCTGAAGAGCACGTCCTCCCACAACAGTATCTGGCATACATCTATGATGTACCCACCCGTACACACATGCCAACTCCCATCACATGAATGAGACCCTGCTAGTCTGAGTTAAGCAGTTAGCCCGGCTTTGTTGAATCAGCACTTTACAGAAAAAACTGCCAGAAAAAAAACCAGCTCTCCTGTATCGGTTTAGTTTTATGTGTCTCTCAAAACTTCACCCTTGATATGCCTATTAGCAGATGACTGCCCAGGTGGAAAACAAGCATTCCTGTATGCTTCAGCTCTCATGTACGTAAGAAAAAGTCTACTCACTATAAAAAAAATTCTTTTGTGGGTAAACTAGTGTACATAAGTTTTCCAAGCTCAAAACAGTTTCTATGTTCTCATTAATCCCCTCAGTTCCAGAGTCTGGGAGGAATAAACCACCATATAGAGTCAGGCTTGCTCAACTGCAGGCTTTCTAGTCCAAATAAATTTAAGACCTACTAAAACTCATGCTTATTACATTAGAAAGTTACACATAATGAAACTTTCCTGCCACTTCACAGCTCTCGAGATCTGAGTTTGAGCCACATTGTTCAGATGTAAGAGACTTGGAAGATTTGATAAGTACAGTCACCTGTGTTAAGCTTTTCAAAAATTCTTTGTCTTACCAATGGATTATATATTTAATGTGGGTACTTTATGTTGTAACCTTAGTAGTCTTTAAATATTTGGACATGAGTTTTGAAGAATAAAAGAGCAGTGATTACATGATCCAGTAATTTAAAAATCAAATAAAACAAAACTCGGTGATGAGTTTTACTAAAACCACTGGGGAGAAAAATCCCAAGCCACAAAAGAACACAGAGCATGAGTCACAAGCTAACGAATACACAACGGTTTGCGTGTCCTTAAACTAGTGGTACCTCTGTTCTGGCTCATCCTCACCGCCTGAGTTAAAGCAGTCTGAGGATTATTCCAAGTTACTACAGCCCCATCAGACAGCTGTAGCTGCTGGGCCTTTGGAAAGCCCTATAAAAACTGCAAACAGCAGTGACAGCAAAGTTGCTATACCAATCCCATGCAACTTCAGACTGCCAATTCATAGCTGGCTAATGCAGCTTTATCACAGTTTTGCCATAGCCTTTAGAGGCTTTTTTTTTGCACTGACATGTTCTGCAAAAATATTGGCCAGATCCTCAACTTGTGTAAGTCAGTTCTGATGACATCAAAGAAGTTACAGTAATTTCTACTAGCCCTGAGTCTGACGTGGCACTGCATGTAGTGTCAGAGTATAATGTCCATTTGTTTTGTTCAGTTTGCAGAAGCAGCATGTGGTGTGGTTCAAGTGATGCTCAATGGATCAGTAGAAGCTGGAGCTTTCAGAAGCAGCAGGTATTTACTCAGCTTGCTACCATCCATGTTTCTGTGGGGCCTGCATGCTGGTGAACGTGTCTTTGCCAGTGAGTCCCAGTGCAGAATGGATTTTGGTAAACTCATACAGGGGTCTAAACCATTGGCTGTTGTAGAGCTGATTCACTTAACTCCTTCTATACAGTGACTGTAATTGAAATCCTTCAGAGGGTATGTGGGTGGGGTATCCCGTATGCTCTTACTGCACAAAGTAACTTTATTATTACAGTTTATTTATTCATTACACATGAATGACACATTTCTAACTGTTCATGGAGCTGACTGGATTTTACTCCTCCAGTCTGTGCTTCCTTGGGTTACCTGGCTGGAAGTGCAGTCCTGAATAATATTGAAAGATGAAGAATATGCTGGTCAGGGGAACAGCCACGTTCATTTCCCTTGCACCAAACCAAATCAATAATCAATAAACTAAACAGGGGAAAAGGCACTGAAGATGGAAAAACTTCAGCTTGTTTCAGTCTGCAGACAGTTTAAAAAGTTCTCCTGAAAGTGGAATAAGAATGGGGAGAAAATATTTTACCATAAGGCAATTAAATAGTCTATGAAAATCCGTTGGCAAGGTAATGTTCTTTCACTGAGAATAACAGCAGCACTAATAAGCACTAGTATTTGGGGAACATACTCTGTACGTCTTTCTCAGATAAGTAAGAATGTTTCGCTTTTTCACGTCCCATTCTTACAGCATCTTTGGAAGTATTGAGATCTTTAACCTAAATCCAGATAAAGTCTCTGCAGTACACATTTGGCTTATGCATGACATCGGGGGACCTCAAAGGTAAGTACGCCGGTACGAAACGATGAGCAGTGTGTAGAAGGCAGACAGCGCAGCTCAGTTCTGACGAGTGACTGTCTAACAGTGACACTGTCTTAAACCCGCTCACGAAACCTGCTCTACATTCGGTCTCCTAGCTGCTTACTTTACTGGAAAGAATAACATTTGTACTGTTGTTTTCTTTAGTATTTTTCGTAGGTACTGCTGAACAGTTATAGCTAAGACACAATGACATTTTCCTTGCTTTCAAGAGGTCCCATGACATTTAAATACCTTCCAACCCCACTGAGCTCTACAGGCCTTTATTATGGGTGCAGCACTGAAGTCACAGAGCAGGCTGTGTTTGCAAGGGTGAACAGCTGGAAAATATGTTTGTCCACAGGAATAGTATAATTATGCTGAGCAGAACCATTTTTGATAAAATAATTTCAAATACTGGAACAGGTTTCCCAGAGAGGTTGTGGAGTCTCCATCTGTGGCATACTCAAAACCCGACTGGGTCCTGGGCAACCTGCTCTAGCTAATATTGGTTGGACTAGATGATCTCAAGCAGTCCCTTCCAACCTAAATGATTCTGTGATTTTTAATAACAAATCTGTAGTTTAAATGCTTACCATGGAATTACTGATACCAGAACAGTGACCTCAAATCACATCTGAGCCTTTCTGGGTCCTGCAACCTGCTCTAGCTAATATTGGTTGGACTAGATGATCTCAAGCAGTCCCTTCCAACCTATAAGATTCTGTGATTTTTAATAACAAATCTGTAGTTTAAATGCTTACCATGGAATTACTGATACCAGAACAGTGACCTCAAATCACATCTGAGCCTTTCTGAGTGACCTTTTTCATCCTGATCAGATTCATTTGCAGATCTGTCACATTTCAAGCACTGAACATGAGGCTCAGTGCCTTTGACCCCTATTTTCAGAGCCGGTTCTGCATACTCAAAACCCGACTGGGTCCTGGGCAACCTGCTCTAGCTAATATTGGTTGGACTAGATGATCTCAAGCAGTCCCTTCCAACCTAAATGATTCTGTGATTTTTAATAACAAATCTGTAGTTTAAATGCTTACCATGGAATTACTGATACCAGAACAGTGACCTCAAATCACATCTGAGCCTTTCTGAGTGACCTTTTTCATCCTGATCAGATTCATTTGCAGATCTGTCACATTTCAAGCACTGAACATGAGGCTCAGTGCCTTTGACCCCTATTTTCAGAGCCGGTTCTGTGGGTCACATGGTTACAATGCATTGCCATGATTTCTCCCGTTCCTAAGGACCCCCATGACACAGGCAGCAGCTTTGAGGCTGTGGGTCAGGAAGCAGGCCGTGATGATGCGGTGCAACTCAGTAATGAGTGTGGACCCAGCAGAGACCCTTGCTCAGACAGCCTCACTGTCTGACACAGTACCAGCTCCAGTGTTGCAACCCCTTCCCGAGCCCAGACACCCAGAAGTGTCTCTTTGCCACACAAGCTGACACACCTATCACAGCTCACAGGCACGCATCTATCCTGTGCTCAGCATGCCAGACATACTCTTGTGGCCCATTGCACAGAGGTTTGCTGAAGAAAAGGGCATTGAGTAATCTGTACATTAGTTCCCCCAGACATGGCATTTGATCCTTTCTCCCACGATTTCCCAACATCAGAAAAGCCGTCATGTTTCTCCTCAACAGCTTCAACAACGTGGTGCCCTGCCAGCCTTCTTGACACATCCTCCTCCTGTGCCAAGTCCACAGCAGTTTCCTTTTTATTTTCTGCTTACTTCCAAGGAGAAAGAGGGAGGGTAACTCCAATAATATGTATTCTTTTTATCTTCTGATTTTTATTCCATGTTGAATCACTGATAACATCTGGCAAGTCTAGTGAACAAAGAAGAGCTGGCTCTGCTTTCCACTAATGCCAAATGTTAGGAACTGGATTTGCCCCAGTATTGTATTATTGCCCTGATGTGTGTCCTATACTCTGGACCAGGAGATGATTTTTATCCTGAGGAAACAAGTCTTTTGCAGCATCTCTGTGTCTATGACAGTTGTCAACCCTCTCACTACAGCTTTGGGGCACCTTGGGCTATTTCAAGCAAATTAAGCATAGAGATAAAGATCTCAAAGGTATGACATTGCTACATGCTTCATGAAACCATTAGCTGGATGGAAAAGAAATACACAAGTTAGGGCTCCTACCAGTGGAAAAGTGGTTGAAACAGCCCTTTGTCAAAACAGAGTAGCAGCAGCCACAGACTGAGTCAAACAGGTAGGAGGTGCTCATAGCCTGCTTCCTCCCATGTTTTCTATCTGCTTCCTCTTATCTTATGTCCTACCTGGGACTTAGCTGCTGGTTTTCATGATTGTCCCTTCCAGAGGACTTGATCCCTTTGTCCTTCCACAGATTTGAATGAGCCTTATATCGTGCTCCTGTGGATGGAGGCCACCAGCAGCTCTGGAGCAGTTCTAGAGCACATTGAACTGTGAATGCAACTGAGTTATTTCCCGTGGATATCTTCCTGCACAAAGTTCTTGTGCAAGATGCACAGCTGAACATCACATAATTTCTACCAGCAAAGGCCCAATGATAGCCAAAACTCCACAAACCCAATGGGCTTTACAGCGCATTAGCAAACAAGCTTTTAAAGAATCTTACCCGAAGTAAAGCAAAGTGACGTAGTGTGGAATTTAGCTGAGCTTCTTGTACACACAAGGAACACAAGTAACGAAAGACTTTTCTCTCCAGTGAATCCTGCTCAGGTCATTCCATAAAGAGGTTAAAAAGCATCTTAGAAGAGCGAAACTTTAAGATCACCTGTGAAGACAATTACAGGTAATTACCTGCTCTTATTGGTGACAACTTGCTAACATAAAACTAATATTGCATCTCCCTCTTGACTTAATATAGGTTTACAGCAAGTTAGAGCAGACTGCCCTTTTACTGCCATCACATCCCTTCAGTGTGGCTATGTGCTTCTCAGGGGCTTCCACTCGCGCTGCAGACCTCGTGTTGGCTGGGTCTGGGTCTTGCTCTCTGCCCTGCACTTGCCATTGGGCGTGTTCAGTTGCCTTCAGGGAAGGAGCAATCCAGCCTCCTTCAACAGATTTTCATCTGACCAGGCTTTTACCTACAATAATCAGAACAAAATAGGCAGCTTTCCTCCCTGCTGCATGCAGATAATGCAGTATGTCAAGGATGGTCCTTACTTCCTCTGCTATAGTTTGAGCTTATTTTCTGTCCAGCTGCTTTGTCAGAGAGAGGCGTGAGACATGATAAGCATTATTAATTACTATAATTCACCATTGTCAGGAGAGAAAAACAGGAGTCCAGGAAACAGCAGCCCAAGTTCTGACTTGCCTGAAATCTCTATCTGCCTGCTGAGGAGATACAAAAGCCTGAGACCCTTTATCCCTCTGTGCAGGTTCAGAGACCTTCACACAGAGCAAAAGTGTTCTTTAGTGACATTAGAAAACCAGCAAAGGTTCAATATTACTCATATCTTATCTGTCAGGAACAGCTTTTCAGAGTGAAGAACTCATACTTGGATAAGAACATTTCCAAAGTAAACAAACATTTCTATAAACTACTGAGTTTGTGGCATTAGTTTTACGTAAGGAAAAGTTGGTCTGTAAAGGAGACAAATGCCTTAGCTGGTGATAGGACTTTAATCCTGAAAGCAGAGCAATATATTCCTGTTTAGGTATTGCTGAACCTCATTGATTAATAGGTGCTCTGCACCTTGTAAAAAAATTAGCACTGGTGTGGTGCATGGATCTGCCAGATCGTGATGGTCGTGTATTCACTTTCTCTGGGTAAATGCAGCCTTTAACCAATACTCCAGGGACCTGTAAGTAGGTACAGATTATTTCAGCCTATGATGAAGTACACTAAGGGGCCAGGGAGGAACGGGAAATATGTAGTAGCTTAGACCCTCGTGGCTCAGCACAAGGAGAAACCTGTAACACATCATGAAGAGTTGTTGACACGCTCATTGCTGTGGTTCACAACTCACTTCTTAAGGTAGAATAACAAGTAGAGCTTTTTGTCAGAGTTCAACTAATACATACATAAACAACTGTGTAGAGTAACACGGACAATTAATTTTACTATTTTACATATGAAGCAATAATAAAATAAGCAATTTACATGTGCAGTAAAACTCTTCAGGATAGACTGTACAATTTAGCTTCACTCCCCTGAAGTCATTGCAGACAGAACCGTCTGGGTCCGTATCAGCTGAGCATCTGGCTTTTCATGCCACATAGCAATTGATGCTGATCATTTTCTCTTGCTTTTGTCCATGTCAGCAGTGTCTTCCAGAAGTAACTCAAAAAATAGATTCACTGGATGTACTTCTAGAAGAAAATCTAATCATATCTGACATTGTTAGCAACAGCTTTACATTGTAGCAGTAGGGGTTACCACTCAGTAAGCAAGATGGTGAACTTCCAGCATGGCAGCAACTCCGTAGTCTGTGCAAGAGATCTTACTTCTTTTTCATAGTTATTTTTGTTATCACAGCGTAGCTGACATGCTGTGAGTTCACACCCTACTTTTATTTCGTACTCACTTGCTCTTGTCCCTAGCCCCTATAAACACCAAAGTTATCTTTCTGCAGCAAGATCTAAAAAAATTATCCAAAGACATCCACTTGATAAGCGCAGATGTAACATGCACTTTGACTTTCACGTTGCATTTAGTAACTGTAGAGCTATTGTGTTGCACTTGCGAAGTGGTTACTACATATTTGTTTTTGTGTCTTATCACAGGCCAGTTCAGCTCCTTCAGTGTGTGCACAACCCTGACCACACAGACTGCAGACTTTGCACCAACACCACGGCAACTCCATGAAATGGAGTCCTCCGCACTACTGAAGACTTTTGTTATTTGTGTGTAAAGCTGGAAAAGATGTGGCTACATAGCTTAGAGTGATAAGTAGTAGCGTGGCGTGTACAGAGTCCATAACCAGAAATCCTTGCTGTGATACTAACAGCCAAATAGCAGGAGATGATACTTTAGGTGTGATTACTGTACACACACACACACACAAACATACTATTTCAGAGGGGCCGGGGGCATGTTCAGTGGTTGAGGGCAGATGCTTTGGCCTCATTTGGTCCCTCCTGTACAGCTCCCCTTGTGCCCAGAGGCTCAGAGCAGGGATTCCCTGGGGGTGTGCACAGAGAAGAAAGAGGTATTCCAGCAGAGGCAGAACTTGCCTGGATCAGCGCTCAGGTTCCTCCCCGCTGTAAGGCTGGATGGGAAATGACGGGAGCATGCTACGCTCTCCCTGCATCCCAGTGCAACATCCCCCAGAGGGGAACATTGCCCAGTGGCACGTGGTATAAATCACGTTTCTCCCAGGAACTGTGGCACCTCTGAGCAGGTAAAGCAAGCGATGAAAGAGGCAGAGTGGTTGTTACCTTTTAATGGGCATCACAGTAAGTGGCTGGTGGGGAAACGGCTGAGCTGAACCAAGAAGAGACCAGAAACCACTTGAGGGTTGCCAGCATCTGTAAGAACAGGTCGAGTGTGTAGCTGGGGAGAGAAAATAGCATCTGACTCAGACAACCCCATTAAAATCCTACTGGAAACACCATTGCAGTTCAGATTACATTTTATTCTTAATATAGCAGTAAGGATAAGCCTTCCAACTTTCATAAAAGGTCCCTCAGGCCACAGCTTGGTCATCCGCTGGAATAGAGACAAACATCAAAAGGTTGTCACAATAAGGAGTCTCTCTTGACCTCTGTTTCTGAGGTGAAAGGTGATGCCTTGCAGTGTATAATTCACAGGCATGGACATGCCATAGTACACTGAAACAGCAGGTTGCATTGATTTCCTTTGATTTGCATTTTGCTGGTCTCATACACATATTCAAGTGCAGTGTTTATAACATAATAAAGATCTGAGGTCAGCTTGTGGCCTCGGCTGTAGTGCCTTTGTGCAGTGCCATTGACACATTTGCTATAGATATACTGCTAGGTGTTGCAGTGCCAGCAAAACCAGCAATTGCCAATTCATTAGGCAGACCTAGGTTTCCATGATCCCACAGGCACACAGTTATAATGCTGTATGTTTTAGTGACTACCCACAGTGTGAAGCACCCTTATGGAACTATACAAGCTGGTGTAGTTTCGAGCATCTCTAGATAAACCTTTGCTCTGTAATACACAGGCCTGCACTGAGCATAGCTGGACCACACCCAAGACCTCGCCCAAAATGTTTACATTAAGTGAAACGTATTTTTATTTGTACTCTGTTATGTAACTACTTCGATGCAGCAACGCAGACATGTACCAATACTTTCAAGTAGGTTATTTCTGACTATAGGTCAAGACTTTGTCTTCATGCTCATTTTTGTACCTCTTCTATTGTAATATAAAATGTTGACTGTAAAATCGAGATCTATAATAAAATTGCTGATGGCTCTGCTGGTTTTGGCTAGGATAGCATTAATTTCCTTCATAGTAGCTAGCATGGGGCTGTGTTTTGGATTTGTGCTGGAAACAGTGTTGATAATACAGGGAGGTTTTCGTTACTGCTGAGCAGGGCTTACACAGAGTCAAGGCCTTTTCTGCTCCTCACCCCACCCCACCAGCAAGTAGATTGGGGGTGCAGAAGAAATTGGGAGGGGACACAGCTGGGACAGCTGACCCCAACTGACCAAAGGGATATTCCACACCATATGACGTCATGCTCAGCATTTAAAGCTGGGGGAAGAAGAAGGAAGGGGGGATGCTTGGAGTGATGGCGTTTGTCTTCCCAAGTAACGGTTACGCGTGATGGAGCCCTGCTTTCCTGGAGATGGCTTCATAGTACTAGCATGGGGCTGTGTTTTGGATTTGTGCTGGAAACAGTGTTGATAATACAGGGAGGTTTTCCTGCTGAGCAGGGCTTACACAGAGTCAAGGCCTTTTCTGCTCCTCACCCCCCCC